TGTGTCGTTGGTTGGAAAGAACCACAAGTTGTTGGTGCATAAGGTAGTAGTAGGGGAAAGCTCCTTGATCAATGGACTAAAGTGGAGTTGGAAGAGTCTAATTTCAACTCTAAAGCTCTTTATGCACTCTTTAACACTGTCAGTATTGGTCAAATGAAAAACATAGCCAACTGTGAAACAGCTAAAGATGCATGGGACAGACTCCAAGTTAATAATGAAGGAACTGACACTATCAAAAAGACCAAACGTAAGAGATTGATTACTGATTATGAAAATCTTTTTATGCATGATGATGAGTCTATCACTGATTTTCATGGTAGGTTATGTGACATCACGAATGAATGCTTTACTTTAGGTAAAATCTATACTGATGCTGAACTTGTCAAGAAAGTTTTGTGTTTTCTACCTATGAAGTTCATGTCCAAAGCAACCTTTATCGAAGAATGCCAAAATTTGGACGAGATACAGTTGGATGAACTCATTGGGTCACTTCAGACTTTTGAACTCAACCTGAAACGATGGGAGAAGAAACCGGGAAAGGGTCTCGCTCTAAAGCATGATGTAACATCTGAACCTTCTGTGTGTGTTGTCTCTAGTGATGGTGAGGAAGATGAGTGTGCCTTGCTCACAAAGAATTTTGCTAAATTCTTGAAAAAGAATATGAGAAAACCTAGGTTGAACAAAAAAGGTAAACAACCTTTTGTGAAGAAGCCTTTTGACCAAGTTTGTCAAGGTGCCTTCTCAAAACGATTTTCCAAAAATAATGACAAGAAAAACAAATGCATCAGGTGTTATGAATGTGAAGGGTATGGACACATTCAGTCAGAGTGTGTGAACACTCTAAAGAAAAGGGGGAAAGCCAGGGCTGCCACACTAAGTAAAAGTGATGACAGTGAGAGTGGAGGTGATGACATTAATGAGGATGAGAATTTCCTGGCTTTTACTGCTAACCAAGAGGATAGTAGGAGTGTGTCCTCGGATGACTCAAGTGATGTTTATAAGGAGCAGCAAGAGACTTATGATAAGATGTATGAGTCATGGGTGAAAGCCATAAAAAAGATCAAATCCCTTGAATATGAAAATTGCACCTTAACAGAAGATAAAAAAAGTGTTGAATGATAAATTGACAGCTGTGTTTATTGATTTATCTAATAAGGAACTTCTATTAAATCAAGCTTTAAATGAACTAACGGAGGCCAAGACAATTGTTGAAAGATTGAATGCAGGTTCTTTTAAACTTGATGAAGTTCTTGTCCAAGAGAAGTCTTTTGGTGACAAAACTGGTTTGGGTTTTTCCCCTGGAGTAAGCTCTTCCAAACCTGGTGTGACCACTTTCATTAAGGCGAACACTTCGAAACCAGTTGTGACCACCACTGTCAACACAGTCTTAGACCAGAATGTTCTCGCTGATTCTTTCCATAAGGGAAAAAGGTTTACTCCTGTTTGTCATTTTTGTCAAAAGAAAGGTCACATTAGACCAAAGTGTTTCAAGCTCATTACATATTTGAAAAGATGCATTGGAAATCATGTTTTTCCCTCTAAAAAAACCCCGCATCAAAACAATTTTTTTAAACACAACAAAATATGGAGACCTAAGTCTAGTACCAAAAATTTGGTCGCTCACACATCATTGCTTGCATTTCAAAATGACCAATGGTACTTTGACAACGGGTGTTCAAGGCACACAATAGATAACAAAAGTTTGTTGACCGAACTTGAATTTGTTGAGGCTGGTCATGTGACCTACGGTGATGGCAAAAGAGGTAAAATCCTTGATAAAGGATCTATTATTATTCATGGTTTCCCTGTTCTATGTTGAAGGTCTTAAAGTTAATCTCATAAGCATAAGTCAAATATGTGATAAAGGCTGTGTTGTGAAATTTTCAAAAAATTTGTGTCAAGTTTTAAATAATGATGGAACCTCAGTTCTTGAAGGAAAAAGATCAAATGATAATTGCTATCTTTTGACTAACAAAGTTTCATGTGTAAGTTCTAGCACTGATGATGTTGATGTTTGGCATAAAAAACTTGGACATATAAATTTCTGAGATCTTGTGAAACTCTCTGAAAATGATGCTGTGAAAGTACTACCAATTTTAGAGTTCCCAAAAGGTAAAGTTTGTGGCCTATGCCAACAAGGTAAGCAAACTAAGCTTCCTCACAAATCCTTATCTTGACTAAGTACCTCACGTGTTTTAGAACTTCTCTATATGGATTTAATGAGACCTATGCAAACTGAAAGTTTGGGAGGTAAGAGATATGTCTTTGTGTGTGTTGATGACTTTTCTAGATTCTTTTGGGTTGATTTTCTAAGGGAAAAGTCTGATACAGTTGAAATCTTTCAAACCTTGATCAAAAGACTTCAAGTTGAACAATGTTATTATGTGAAGAAAGTTGTGAGGATAAGAAGTGATCATGGAAGAGAGTTCGAGAACACTGATTTTTCCAGTTTTTGTGATTCGCAAGGTATATGGCATGAGTTTTCTGCCCCAAAAACACTGCAACAGAATGGAGTTATGGAGAGAAAGAATAGAGCTCTTCAAGAAATGGCAAGAGTCATGTTAAATGACAAAAAATTACCAACAAGATTGTGGGCTAAGGCAATCAACATTGCAAACAGAGTTTTTCTAAGGAAAGGTATCTCTCAAACTCCATATGAACTATGGAAAGGTAAGAAGCCTAATCTGTCATATTTCCATGTTTTTGGGTGCAAGTGCTATGTGTTGATGACAGGATATTCGCAAGTGTATGAAATCGTGCAAATAATAAAGCTCGAGTAAACGAGTGTCAAATCCTAATAGAACTACCTACCAAGTACCAAACTAGTCTATTTTGTTGCTATTTGATGAAACAGAATTTTAAGAATGAATTTAATGAAAAAGAAAACAAACTAAAAACTAAACAAAAGCAAAAGTTTATTAATACTTTGGTAAACAGATCAATATGACTAAACCTAGGGCACAAATTTCACACCAATTTAATCCTACGCATTGACAATTATTGCTAACCTAACTAAGCTTATTCTAAAGGTCAAATTCCTTGATATTCCACTAACTTTCTCTCGAACAATTAGCAAATTAACCCTTAAGCAACAACCCAAAATATCTCTAAGTTGGATTTAGGAGTTAAGAGATCATTGAGTTCTATGGAATTTACCAGAGCCTCATAGATCGCGATAACCTATCTCTAGCGTTCGCTCAATCTATGGTTTTATTTCCTTAGACAAATCAGGTTTCATCTCTCGATCTCAACCCAACCCATGATATCATTCAACTCTCGGATCCTTAAGAATTGCAAGCATTACACACAATAATAAAACTTAGAATTAATGCTCAACAAGAATTAACAACAATAAAGTCAACACATATTCATAAATTAGGCTACATCTTTAGCCCTAGAAAAAGGATTTAGTTCATAATTGCAGTAATAAAAACAACCATTATATTCAATAACATGAGTTCAAAAAAGAAAAATAGAAAACTTCTCTAATTGGTGAACGAGAACTGCAAGAATTCTAATCTCCAAAATAGTAGCCGTCCTTTCTCCTTCTCTAATCCCCCTAAATACTAATTAAAGACTCTTATTTATAGTGCTAGGGTTTTGAGGTTGCTTAGGAAAAAATTAAATGCCTTCACCCATTCAAATTTGGACTAGGAGAATGCAATAACCCAAACAGGCCCGTGACCCATCGTTGTGGCAATAAAAAATGATCGCTGAGGCGATCATTCTTTCTGTCCCATGAGTCCGTGATCTTAAGAATTTGGTAAAGTCATCAACACAAACTTTGTATCTCTATGAATAAGCTTTCTAACGCCACAAGAATCATCGAATTCGGATTTCTACAGCTCAAGTTATAATTGAAACATCAAAGCATACTCATCTTGAAGGATTTCCAGATTTTACGTTGTATCTTCGACGCATCACAACTTTCTCGTTTCAACTCCGATTCTTGCACCGTTTGTTCCTACTTGTCACGAATTCCATCGATATCATTTTTTTCCTTCAAATATTGGTTTGAACCTGAAAATACTTAAAAATACACCTGTGATCCCGTAAAAGGTATTTATGAAATAATTAATTCAAATTCCACAATTTAAACACATTTTTCCACAAATAATCTAATTAAATCACTAACAAAATATATACTTTCAAGCTCTTATCAATTCAATGATAAAGATCACCTAGGAAAATTTGACTCTAGAAGTGATGAAGGTGTTTTTCTCGGATATTCTGCAAATAGTAGGGCATATAGGGTTTTCAATATGAGAACTCAACACATTATTGAATCATTTAATGTTGTTTTCTCTGATTCTGAAGATTTTTCGCAATTTTCCCATAAAGAAGATATTGATGACTTAATCTTGACTCCCGGTATGACCACTGATCATGATGATGTGTCCATTTCAAATTCTCATAAAGATGTGACCACATCAAAATCCGAAGTTCACACATCTGCAGCTAAAAAAGGATCTCTCCCAGAGAGACAAGGACTCAAATTAATTGCTGATCTTTCTAATGAAATCACTCAACAAAAGACACTCAAATCTAGAGAACCTCCTTCCTGGATTAAAAAGGCTCATCCACCATCAACAATGGTTGGAAATTTTGAAGAGGTAATGGTCACTAGACGTAAAAAATTGAGTGAAATTAATAACCTGTATTATGTTTCCCTTTCAAAGCCCAAAAATGCAAAAGAGGCCCTTGAAGATCACTGTTGGATTACAACTGTGCATGAGGAGTTGGAACAGTTTAAGAGAAATGATGTGTGGAAATTGTTTCCAAGACCTGAAGGGATTAATGTCATTGGAACAAAGTGGATTTTCAAAAATAAATAAGATGAGTTTGGAAAAATTGTGCAAAATAAAGCAAGACTTGTTGTACAAGGGTATACATAAGTTGAAGGAGTTGATTTCGATGAGACCTTTGCACCTGTTTCCAGACTTGAATCCATAAGATTAAGGCTTGGAGTGGCCTGCTGTATGAAGTTGAAACTTTATCAAATGGACGTGAAGAGTGCCTTTTTAAATGGAATGCTAATGGAAGAAGTTTACGTTGAGCAACCAGTAGGATTACAGGATCCTCATATGCCTAATCATGTGTTCAAACTTAAGAAAGCACTTTACGGGTTAAAGCAAGCACGAAGAGCATGGTATGACAGGCTTACCTCATTCTTTCTTGATCATAACTTCATTAGAGGTAATGCCGACAAAACCTTGTTCATAAAACATGAAGGAGGTAAATTTTTGTATGCTCAAATTTATGTAGACGATATTGTTTTTGGTTCTACCTTTCATACTCAACTTGAAAAATTTATTACTTTAATGAAAGATGAATTTGAGATGAGTATGGTGGGAGAAATTAGCATGTTCCTCGGTCTTCAAATCAAACAAATTGATTGTGACATGTTTGTCTCCCAATCTAAGTATACTAAAAACATGCTCAAAAGATTCAATCTCGAATCTGCCAAGCATGCTAACACACCAATGAGCTCCTCTCTTAAACTTTCCAAGGATGATAATGGTAAAAAGGTTGATCATAAGTTGTTTAGAAGCATGATAGGGAGTTTGTTGTATTTGACAGTAAGTAGGCCTGATTTGTGCTTTAGTGTAGGTATGTGTGCTAGGTTTCAATCTAATCCTAGTAAGCTTCATCTTAAAGCTGTTAAGAGAATCATGAAATATGTTGCTGGAACATTAGATTTTGGACTTTGGTTTTCTTGTGATTCTAATCCTACTCTTGTGGGTTTTAGTGATGCTGATTGGGCAGGGTGCTTGGATGATAGGAAAAGCACATTCGGAGGATGTTTCTTTCTCAGCAACAACTTGATCACCTGGTGTAGTAAGAAACAAAACTCAATCTCACTCTCCATAGTCGAAGATAAATATATTGCTGCAGGGAGTTGCTGCACACAGGTTCTTTGGTTAAAACAAATGCTATGCATAACTGTCTTTTGTGATAACACTAGTGCAATAAAAATTTCTAAAAATCATGTTCAACACTCCAAAACCAAACACATTGACATTAGGCATGATTTTATAAGAGACTTAGTTGATGAGAAAGTGATCACTCTTGCACATGTTAACACAAACTCTCAACTTGCTGACTTGTTTACTAAAGCTTTAGACTTGCAAACTTTTGTAAATTTGAGGATGTCCATTGGACTTATTCAAATTTAATAGTGTCTCTGTCTTTTCTAATAAATGCCAAGAGATAAATTTCCTTTTTTAGTTGTTACAAGTATTCTTTTAATTCGTGTTGATGATTGAGAACTTTTTCAGTCTTGTGGTAGCATGCTGCTAAAATATGTCCACCCTGTGCTTTCTTATCTAAAAGCCTGTGGTAGCATGTCTTAAAATCTTTCCATGAGTCTGTTTTACTTGACTTTGTCACCATGTGAAAGAGCTACCTTGCTTGTAGTGTGAAAGTCATAATTGAGTAATCTTCTAGGATGTAGAGGCCCCTATGTTCTTAAAAGATCTACCATTTAAAAGGTTACCTCCTTGCAAGTGTGAAAGCTATACTTGGTTGCTTTTGAGAGAATTTCTGCCTATTGCTTATCTATTACAAAGAAAAAGAAGTAAAAAAGAATTTCAATTGTTTAATGAATAAAAAATAATTAAAAAAAAGGGCATGAGGGAAGGGGGAGTTGAATGGAATTTTTGACCAACAAGTCATGCTCCCATTTGAGGACACCACACACACCTATGACAAAGAATCTATGCATTCTTGCTCATCAATTGACAAAAGAAAAGGTTGCACGTGTATGAAAGTAACTTGATTGAGGTCATTTCTCTAGCATCCCCAAGATTGATGATCTTTTCTCTCTTGTAACACTGATTGACTATACTTGCTTCTGTAAATTTTTGTTTATGAAATTGGCCTCATGGTAATTTTTTTGTTTTGTTTTGTGTCTCTTGCCTTTTGCCTTGATCCAATGTCACTCTTTGAGAGTTCTTGTGTGCACATATCTGCAATTTTCTGTCCTTGATTTCTGTCCTAAGTTTTCTTTTAGTGGTTTGTGTATGGTTTGTTGTGTATACTTTGTAACTTATGTTATCACATATGGGACTTTTGTTAGTTGTGCGCTCATGACTGTTGGATGTGCTCACATTGGGTTCAGTTAATAAAAAGGGAAAACACATGTTTTTCTAGGGTTGTGTTTTTCTTTTCTTTTATAAAGTTGTGTTTTGTTCTTTTCAGCCGTCATATCCAAAGTGCGTTTTTTTTCTTCTATTAATTCTTTTCTCCAATCAATCTCTCCTAACTACCTTTTTTCTAAACATCAATGGAACACCAATAGGGATTCATTGACGGCATTAGAAAGACTGTTGAATCCAAGAAAAGAATAAGAATAGGGCAGACATACCCAAGAAAGTGCACACTCTTCTATTTCAAGTGAAAGCACCCCCTCTGCCTCAAAATTGGTGTTAGAATCCTCATCGTCAAACTCTTCTTCATTTGATGATCAACCTCTTAGCAAGAGACTGAAACGCTCAAAAGGGTCCTCTGTTGAATCCCCTGCGAAGAAGAATAAACAAGCTAAGATTGCCAAGGGTAAAAAGAAAGTGAAAGAAGCACCTCAATATGAGGGCTTAAGTAAACAACAAATCTTTGTTTCCGCTTCTGCTGAGTTGAGGTTTAAAGAGTCTGTTATTTTTAAACCCATTGTTTGTGAGTCAAATGTGGAACTCTCTGAGTTCCCTGAAATCATCAAAATCGTGGCTGGTAGAAAATGGAAATCATCTGTGGTGAAACCTGTGCCACCGTGTTAAGGTTTTGTGTAAGAATTTTATGCACATTTTAGGGAAGATATTGACCAAACCCCGTTTCACAAAAACCAAGTCTGGGTAAGGGGTATTTGGTAGACTTTAACCCTGATGTCATTAGGAAACTGTTGAAGCTCCCTATTGTAAAGAATGAAGATGACTTGTCTGTTCTTGTAGAGGAACGTAGGTTTATGGCTAGTGACCTTAGTGGTGGTACTGTTACAGTTTGGCCTGACAGTGGATTCCTTCTTGTCAATGTGCTCACTTCCCTATATAGGACTCTTTTTAAAATCACCATTACCAGCTAGTCTCCATCTAGGCATAACTCATCAATAAGACGTTATAAAGCCTAATTGCTGTATGACATTGTGCAAGGAAAGAAAATCGATCTTGCCTCTGTTATTTACAAATTGATCAAGACTGCTGGTGAGTCCAAAGGAAAATCCTTCATTCTGCCTTTCCCTTCCTTGGTCACAAGAATTGTTGACTCTTATGGGGCTCCAAAAAGAACAAATGACCAGTTCCTCAAAATTAAAAATATCTCTTCTAAAACCCTTAAGTCTGTTGCCCCTGCTATGGATGTCCTTTCATCTTCTCAAGCCCCTTCTATAAAATCCAGTGCTTGGCAGTCCAAAGTATTTGAGTTGTTGCAGGCTCTTGATTAGAAAATGGACTTTTTTTCACACCTTCTTGATGGCTCGAGTTGACTCTCTTGAAATTGTGCTTAAAGAAACTAGAGCTGAACTTTTGAGTAAAGGAACTCAAGTGGTTCCAAAGATGCCCCTGTTGGCTCTACTCCTGCTAAAGAGACTGATGTTCCTGTTGAACCTCAAGCTGATTGTCACACTAGGGGCTATCCTCTATCTTGCCACCTTCAGGCTCAAGGGCTTTCCCTGCGTGTCGGACACGTCCAAGGTATTGTCCGTTATGGGTCCTTCTAGCCACGCCTTCTTCAAACCCTTACGGCTTTGTTTCGTTTCGTGGTCTTTTTTCCACCTTGCAAACGCTTTCCCTATGACTTAAACCTTGGACTTATACCTTTGCCAAGTAACATGAGTACCATTGGGCCATCGTGAGCTGAAGGAGGATAATGCCAAGCTGAAGTAAGATTTTGCGGCCGTAGATGCAGAAGCAAAAGTGGCTCGCATCTAAGCGGATCAGTACCTGACCGAAAGAGACATTACTCTTCGAGCAGCAGGCTTTCAGAAGGGGGAGCTCAAGAAGAGAGATGTAGACAATAAAGGACTCCAATGAATTGTGGCAAGGCTCACCAAAGAGTTAGGTGAGAAAGAAAAGGAGCTGGAGGCAAGTTCTGATCACGTAAATGTGGTAGAGGAGAATCGAGCTCAGCTGTGGGAAAACATAGAAAAGCAGAAGAGGCCGCTGGAGACAGACCTTGAGCTGTTTTATGGGTGAGTCGCTTTATTGACCGAGAAGATGAAACGGTAAAATCTCAAGCTTGAGAGGAAGGATGCTTATTGGGCAATCCAAGCTATTTATAGCTTGTAGGCTAGGAATCCTGAAATGGACATCTCTGACCTCCTTGATGATTACCAGGCCACTCTTGTTTCCATGCTCGAAGCCGAAGAGGTTGAACAGTAAAAGGAACATGAACTTCCCCCAGAAGATGATCAGTCGGATGCAAACATTCCTACAAGTTGAACGGATGATATGGAGGTCGACGATCAGCCAGAGGATCAAGGGGTCGCAGCCAGGGGTTCGGGGAACGAAGACCAGTGATTCCTCCCTTATTTGCTTTAAGTCTTTCTTGCTTTCTTCTTGTAACTCTTGGTCGCTCCCTTGTACATATTCATCAAACATATATAAAAGAACTTTTCTTATTACTTGTGATAATAATTTTATACTTAAACACTTCACAAAACAAATATAACATATCTGATCATCGAACTCGCAGAAAATGATAAATAACAAGATTATTAAACACTTGAGATCAAGACAAAAGTGTTTCTTTGAAAAGAATTGGGACAATCTTATTCATGAAATTTACAACAGTAAGAACTTTACAAGTAAAAATGATTAGAACCATAGGCGAGTTCGAAATTACTAATAATAAGGGTGAAGATCTTAAACATTCTAGGCTCGCGGTACTTCGGAACCATTAAGCCTTTTGAGATGATACGTCCCAAGTCATATTACCTTGGTGATGCGATATGGACCTTCCCAGTTTGGTCTCAATACCCCCGCACTTGGTTCCCTTGTGCCCAAAAAGTCATCTTTCAAAACTAGTTTGGCAACCCAGAAATCTCTTCTCTTGACTTTAGAGTCGAAAAATCTCTTTGTTTGCTGCTAGTAGGAAGTTATCCTTAATCGAGCCTTGTCGTAGTTTTCTTCAACTAAGTCCAGACTTGCACGTAAGAGTGTCTCGTTGTCTGTTTCATTGAAAAATTCCCTCCAAAGTGAACTAGTTCCTACTTCCACTAGAACCATCGCCTTGTAGCCATATGCCAGTAAGAAGGGCGTTTCTGAAGTAAAGGTTCTCGGAGTTGTTCTATATACCCATAGAACTTCTGGAAGGTCATCGACCTAATTACCCTTGGTTGCGAAGCTTGGTCTTCAATATGTGCTTAATAGTCTTGTTGACAGCTTCAACCTGACCATTGGCTTGCGGTCTTGCTATTGAGGCAAATTTTTTATAAATCCCCAACTCATCGCAAATCTGCTTGAATTCCTCATTGTCGAACTCCTTCCCATTATCAGAGATGAGTGTATGAGGAATCCCATAGAAGCACACTATATTCTTAAAGACGAAGTGTTTAAGCTTTTTTGTAGTGATCGCCGCCAAATGTTTTTCTTCGACCCACTTAGTGAAATAATCCATTGCGACTACTGCGTACTTAACGCCCCCTTTACGGTTGACATGGGCCCGATAAGATCAATTCTCCACATAGAGAATGGCCAAGGACTGGTTATTGTCGTTAGTTGGTAGGAAGGAGCTCACAGGATGTTCGCAAACCTTTGGCACTTGTCACACTTCTTCACGAAGTTGAAAGTATCCTCGTGAAGTAGGGGTGATGAGAATGCAAAATGTCATATTTACCCCTCCTTAATGTCTCATCTTTTATACTTATTTGCTGCTTAAATGTACTCATTATTATTCTATTTTGATTTAGGATGCAAATGGAGGCGTTAAATGTAAAACGGAAAAAATTAGGTGAATTCGGACAGTTTCGATATTGCTTCGTAATCTAGGCATAACTCTCTCATCCGAGCTCCGATTGAGATTATTCAAAATTTTGTGGAACCCTACGAAAGAGATCTACAACTTTCATGTTTTGAGTTTGGAGAGATACTCATTGCATCAAGGTTGTAATTGGGCTTGAAGTTAACACACCTGCACTACTGACGTTCTGGTACATTCTGCCTTGTCATGCAAGTCAATTAGGCAATTTATTATTGGAAGTTTTGAAGACCTGTTGCACACAAGTTAAAGCTGGAAACACCACTTTCTTATTTTATATTAGGACTTTATTTTATTTTTTCAATTAATCAGATTAGGATAAATGTTATTTTAGGATAATTAGAATATTTTTAGGAGATTGAGTAGAATTCAAAGACTTGAATTGGATATTCTTAAAAAGGGGGAGAGAGATCAGATTAGGGGATTACACACGCCTCTGTTTCTCTCTTCTAGAATTTTTCTCTTTTGAGTTTTGATTATGGCTATGAGCGGCTAAAACTTTTAGAACTTGGTCGAAGGAAACAGAGGCCTCGGAATCAATAAAACTGTGAGATCTAATCTGTTTTTCCTAGTGGTCAATATATGTTTTGAGTATTGGATGTTGTTCTATGCCTATTTTCATGATTGTTTCATTTAATTACTAGAAGGCCTACTAGTTTATTATTTGTTGCAATCTACTGTTAAGTTAGATATCAAATCCATAATTGTTTGATCCTTCTAACTTGTGAGTAATTAGGGTTTAAGAATTTGCTACGTCAGGAATTGTTAAATCTTAAGGAGAACATTCGATTGAATTAAATACAACCACTTGTGTTTGTGTTGTTCATCTTCATCGATCTCTCTAGTTCTTAAGGCTGCCACTAGATTAAACCTTTAGCGCTTGTCTTGGGTTGTTTAGTAGTAAGATTAATTAGATCGCTTGTTTCCTAATTAACTACAACTAAGGAGAGATAGGGAAATAGTTCCAACGGTGAATATTCAAGGTATGAATTGATTTATTTTTGCATCGATGATCAGTTGTAAAATTTCGATGGTGGATGTTGACTTAGACCAAGGTTTGTCATTATGATTGATAATTTATTTGAATTGTTTTTTTTTTTTCCTGAATTGTTTCTGTTTTTACTCAAAAAACCCCCCCCCCCCCTCCCCCAGCCTTGTTCATGTAACATAAAACTCGGCTAGACACTCTCAGTGGGAATGATCCTTATTCACACTACTACATGTGTTTTTAGGTTTTAATCTTGGTTACCTACGACAGCACACCAAGGGGCTAATAATATCCCTGATGGACAATCTTATTGGTGAGAGATCATGCAGTAGTGTGATTACTACAAATCCCTTTATATACCTCTCTCATGATGTAATCTGCTTCATCGTTAGTTACACATCAGAGAGGGGAGTGCTAAACCCTCTCTTATACAACTGATCCCCGATAAGTGTGTAACGAGTAACTCTAGTTCGCAAGAGTCTCGCCTTAGTCTTACCACGGCAGAGTCCCAACTTGGATATATTGAACTATCGGAGTCATCCAGAAAGTTGATTCGGTTGCAACTATGGGATGTTCAGGTGAGTTGATGCTGGGAACCTCAATGTACCAAACTGGAATAATATCTGAAGCATCAGAATCCAATGATGAGGCTATTTTTGCCAAAGCATACGTGACAGAGTTACTGTCTCTTGGGATTTGCTTGATCGTATAATGCTTGAAAGGCACGAGTACGACCTTGGCTTTCTTCAGATAGCTGATCATGTTTTCTTCTTTGGCTTGATATTCTCCTAAAATCTTATTGACAACCAATTGGGAGTC